CTAGTTGTAAGGTTCCTAGTAAAACATAAGGCTTCAGTCGCACGTTACCATTTCACTCTGTTCTCTGTAGTCTTTTTAACCTAGTTATACGACTGTCCACAAGCATCCATTTCTTCCTCATGCCATCTCTTCCATGTCACCCTAAACTCACATGTCCAACTCTTCGTTTCATATTCGGATTCCCCGCTATGGCCTGGTCTGAATCAGCACGCAATGTCCCAAAACCGTCCTCTCAGTATGTGTTCAAACTGATCCATCTCCCCTTCTTTCTACTGCATATTTGTTGGGTGACAGGTTCTTGGTTGGTTCACTGCCAGACACCCACAGTGAGTTTCTTCTTGATTATTTTCATTATTCTGCCCATCTGATCTCAAGTATCGAGTGAACGTAGGCGATAGCTGTTGATGAATGTCTGCAGTTTGTTGGAAGTGCTTTTCATGACACACCAAATTTCTCAACCATATAGCAGCACTGACGAGACTGAGGTTGGTGTTGAAAATCCGGATGTTGTTCACGCATTGTGCTGAGTGTCGTGCCGTGCAGTGTAGTGCAGTAGATCTCCACACTGGTTTCAGATTATTGAAGGGAGGCCTGTCTTGCTGTCTTCCCGATACTGATTTTGATATGCTCGTCTGTGCTGCGGCTGATGCCGCCTGTAGTTGAAACAATGGTGGCTCGGTAGTTGTGTAGGTGGAAGAGACTACTTCCTTTAGGTGTATCCCGTCAATGATGATTGGTGTTGTTGGTGATACTGTTTTTGGCTGCATTTCTTCATCAATCCCATCTTCTCTACATTCACTTGAAGTCCCATCTTCCTTCGCTGCTTCGTCTCTCCTTTCAACTTGTTAGTTTTTGCCTGCAAATCTCGGAGTTTGTGCGACATAAGACGTAAATCAATACCAGCAAAATCTGAATCTTCTTCTGGGGTCTTTTCATCGGTCCAGTCAGCGTATGCCCATCTTCTTGCTCCTCATGTTTTCTTTTGCATGATCCATCCAGTTGGCCACAATAGGAAAGGTCATTGGTGATAGTGAGCGGCAATCTTGTCTTTCTTCTGTCTTCACTTTAATAGCATCACTGAGCTTTCCACTGTGAATCACTTGGCATGTAGCATCATCATCACAATCACATAGGTTGATGAAGGCTGGTGGCAGTAAAATCATAATGTTGAAGCAGCTACCTGCCAAATTACTTCTCGGCCGACTCTGTCGAAGGCCTTTTAAAAGTCGATAAAGTTGAGGCAGAGAGGTGGCTGCCATTCTATGCTCCGTTATATGATGATGCGTAACATGGCGTGGCGTTGCAACTTGATCCGCACGTGATTTGTTTTTCCTGAAGCCAGCCTGTTCCGGTCGTATTTTTGAATTCAGAGAATTTTTCAGTCTCTCCAGGATGATGTGGCATAATATTTTGCTTGGTGTGAACCCTAGCATGACTCCGTGCCAGTTCTCGCAAATACTTAGGTCTCCCTTCTTTGAAAGTTTGACAAGGTAGCCCTTCTCCCAGTCAGTTGTCTGGTGGTTTTTTTCCTCGCAAACCTTTTGCAATAGTGGTGTGAGGATGTCCTTTGTTGTCTCTGCGCTTGTTTTCAGTGCTTTTGGCGGAATTCCATCCTGTCCTGCTGCTTTCCCGGATTCCAACAGTTCTATGACTGTTAATACTGATTAAACAAAAAGCTTAGGTTACACATATAAAGGATGGAATTCGAAAATGCTTGATAATTAACCAACAACATTCACAATAACATGAAATCCATTGCTGGTAGAGGATAAAACAGTAAATTTCCGTTTTTAGATGCTGCTTTTATCAAGACAAATTAGGAAATGTTAAAAACCTAATACAAATCAACACCTCAACTTTAGTAGCAACAAACCAACAACACACAAAATCGATTACATGCTAACATTGATGAAAAGAGGGAAGTGAAAATAATACACCAAGATAAATGAGGAAGCTAGAAAATCACTAGTCTATTGACATTCAAAAGAGAAGTTATCCATGAAATGAAAAAATTCACTGTAAACCGAATATCAACTTCGATAACGAGCGAAAGGAATGACATGCATACATGAAATTATTATTATTATTTGTCCTTTGAGTTCCAAATGGAACATACCGCTTCAGTAGCACGTCTCCAATGCGCTCTGTTTTCTGAAATCTTTTGAACCTGGCTCCACGACAGTCCAGAAGCTCCCAGTTCCTCCTCGCACTATCTTCTCCATGTCACCCACGACTCCAACGCCCAATTCGTCTCTTCCCATCAGGGTTACACTCAAGTACCTGGCCTGGCCCGTGATGTCCTCAGTCGGCCTTCTCACTGTATGTCCAATCCATCTCTATTTCCTTCTGATCATTTGTTAGAAGATAGCTTCTTGGTTGGTTAGTTGCCAACCACAGTTCCTTGTTGATTATTCTTATTACTCTGATCATCTGATCTTCAGTAACGAGCCAGTGTAGGCACTTGTTGATGAATATCTGTAGTTTGTTGGAAATGCCTTTTGTAACTCTCCAAGTCTCTGAACCATGCAGTAGCACTGACTTGACTGACGTTGATGTTGAAAACCTGTATCTTGTTCCACATACTTAGTGTAGAAGATCTTTACACCGGTTTCAGGCTCATGAAAGCCTGTCTTGCTTTTCCTATCCTCACTTTAACGTCCTCGTTCGTGCTGCCTAGATAGGTTAAGGAGGCTACTTCCGTTAAGTTTCTCCCGTTTCTGATGATTAGAGCTTGTTGTCGTTGCTTTTGTTGTTGGTGCTGGTTGGATATCTTCATCACCTCTGTTTTCTCCACACTCACTTGAAGTTCCGTCTTCCTTCTCTGCCCTGCCTCTTCTGTCAACTTGTTAGTTATCGCCTGTAGATCTTCAAATTTGTGCCACAAGACATTAGACATTAGTTATCTTTGGCGAAATCCAAATCTTCTAGGTTCTTCTCCCCGGTCCAGCATGTTCTTCTCTTCTCACAGCTCCCCACTGTTAGCTGCATCATCCAGTCCACCACAATCAGGAATATCATGGGTGATAGTGGATGGCAGCCTTGTTTCACTCTTGTCTCCACTTCACTTCATAGGCATCACTGAGCTTCCCATTGTGAATTTCTTGACATGTGGCACTTCATATAGTTGTTGAATGAGATTGATAAAGGTTTGTTGTATTCCGTAGTGTTGAGGCAGTTGCCAAATTACTTGTCGGTGGACGCTGTTGAAGACTGGCCTTTTCAAAGTCGATGTAGTTGAGATAGAGGGTTGACTGCCATTCAAAGAATTAAAAATTTATTCGATATTACAGATATGGCTTGGTGATCGGCGCAAACAAGAGTGAACTTAAACTAAGTATAGCTTTCTAGCAAACGATTCCTAAGGATGATCACTGAAATTATCTACTCACTAACTAACTACTGATGCTTGGCTGTTGTTATTATTTCAGACATTACTAGAAATACGTAAGGCGTCAGTTTGATAACACGTTACATTTTGTACTGACAATATAGTTCTGTAGATCATCTGACAAAGTTTTATTCAAAATACAAGATGTCTGTACGAAGACCAGTCAGCAGAACTAAATTCCATGTCCTTTTGGGTTCAATAAAACTAAATAGGAATGATATGAGTAAACGTGTGGATCTGCGTTTCCCTTATTTCTTGAATTAATAAGATGACCTATACGCCTAGTAAATGTTTTATGAGTCCCATACTTCTAAACAAGTAGGTGAATATTTAAACGTGATTACGTATCGTATTCTTGCTTGTATTAGTATCTGAATTCGGTGGTCTAGTGGATGGCGCTCTGGTGTTTGAAGCTATCGGTTCCGAGTCCGAATCCCGGCGGGAAAAACATCACTAACTGGAAGTCAGATATATTCAGCTGGCGAGTCCCAAACAGGGCGAAATGTGCATCCTAAAATTCCACTGTTAGCTATTATCCATCATTACTGTAGTTAGGTATAGATTATGTAATTACCTTGTTCGAATTCATGAAGTGGACTAGTCGTTCCAAGTCTAGAAACTGCTCTATTTACTGAAGATGGTGTAGTGTTCATTATACAGGCTATGTTGTGAAAAACAAAAGACTCTTCAACCTACAATTATTTTGTTTTAATTACGATCTGTGGTATACCTCCACCGGTGTATTCTTATACTTAGGACTGTTAGCTAAATATCTCATCTTTTAGAAATTTAAGAATAATCACTTAACATTTTGGGATAACTTTGACAATCTGTGACCAAACTGATGTAAAGTTACATACTCTGAATGGTTCAGTAGTTGTTCATTTATGGAGTAAATCTGCATTAGACTGAGCACAGTAAACATATGACAATTCTACTGAGAAGAAACTTCATTTTTATCAAGGAATTGAACTCGAAGACAAACAATCAACTGGAACTAATTTAACCTATTAGACTTTGAGTATTGTCTTAAAGTCTCTGTTAACATCGTAGCGCGACTAGTAGTAGGATGTGATGGTGATCTGAAGATGGTTGCCTAGAGTCCTGTTGCAACTCAAAGTTTCTCCCATCTCACCTTCAGTCAATTTCTCATGTCAGCAACAGGATAGGCTGGGAGATTGATGAAGGGATATTTAGTTTCAAATGTCAACAGTTGTTTAGTTTACATGGCTATCTTGAAAAAATGTGTAACTGTTCAAGGCTTTGTAATATAACTGTTAAGTTTGCTTTAAACTTGAACGTACACAAGTATATGGTAAACCAACATTGAACATTATCATAATACTGTGACTTTCTTTATTCGATACGATTAGGAGGATTCAGAAAAGCATTGAAAAATACCATTAATGAAGCAGGATTAGAGAATATGGCAAATAAAACAACAACCATTGTACATCACTATTTTTAATACTACATTATATGATTCGGATACACGTCAAGTACATGTATAATTTGAGGATAAAATATACAATGTGTTGTAAAAGTATCCTCTCAAAAAAGGAGAATTGAATGCCGATTTGCTTGATTCACTTGATCTGAAACAAATCTTGACCTAATCTGATATATCTGACATGAAAGTATTCAATTTCTTGCATGTAAAGATTGATATGAACGATTCTCGATATTTTCTTAATCGAGTCATGTAGACAATTGTATTGAAGATACCTTGTAATGGCATAAGACACCAGAATATATCTCTTAGTGCTAATGCAGTTCTCAGTCCAAGCAAAGCAACATCAGGATCATCTGCAAAAGCAACGAATGCACGTAGAAAGTAGGCCACTTCTCCTGGTATCGATGATAATACATTTAACGATGAAACAGACAATAGAATAATACACGCTGATAATTCCTTTGAATTTTCATCAGATTTGTCATGTGTCATTTTACGTCGTCTACGAAGCCATAAATAAACTTTAATGAGTAACATTAAACTTAGAATACCGTTAGTAGTTGTTTGAATAAGACAAAAATCTGATATTAAACCATAATATAAAGACCAACCAAGTGTTAATGTTTTAAGCCAACATGCCATTTTACCACCAAAAAATACTTTAGTGAATTGAACAGTTGCTGGTAAAATCATTGCATGTGTAATTATAAAGGTGCTAAATATAAAATACCATGCATATCTTGTCGGTAGTTTACCGTATCTTATTGGAATTTCAATGGAAAGAAATTTATCAAGCATAGTCAATACTAACATATTACCTCTAAAACTACACGCTAATGAGAATAAATATTTATAGGCAATACAAGAAAAAGTAGATTGATAGTCAATAAAAAAGTAGAAAGCTGCATTTGAAGCATATGGGATACCTCTTGAAGGGATATAATAAAGAATTGAAAGTATAAAACAATAAAAAATGTCAGCTATAGAAAAGCATCCTAAATAAACCATTTGTCTTGTCTTATGCTTAAATCCATAAAGAAATATAACACATGTTATAATATTGGCTAGAATATTAAGTAAAGTTATAATTGGTAATAGATAGGCGCATAATACACCAGCAATATTAGAAACATCACATAAAAGTTTACTTGTATACTGTCTGCTAACATTGAACTCACTACAGCCTATTAATAGATCCCATGGAGTGAAAAAGAATGGCCAAGTTGATATATTGTATTCCATTAGAATAGAATAAATCCTCAAGTCAATGAATTATAACCATGTATACATTAGTATATTTGATGTATTATTATTATTATTTGTCCCTTGGGTTCTTAATGGAACATACCACTTCAGTAGGACGTATTCAATGCTCTCTGTTCTCTGTAGTCTTTTGTACCTAGCTCCACGATAGCCCAGAAGCTATACAATTTGATATACCTTTGAAATAATCGAAATTATTTTAAAGCATTTTTTTTTATTATACTGAATTTCAGTTTTTACATTTAATAAATATCTCACGCGATAATGATGAAAATACGAATAATAATATAAACCTATTCCAGAACAAAAATCTTATTTAAAGGCAAAATGATTGAATGAAGGCTAAAAAAAAAATGGAATTTACGAATTAAAATAAAGCTTTCCCTCACCATAGCATAAAGTTATCATTCATTGTTTACATAGTGACTATAATAAAAGCTTTATATTTCATAAATTCTTAATCCCTTCTGTCATTTTCTATCATTTGTCTTTTCCCAGTAGGAAAATTATTGAACTTAGAAATCCTAATATGATAGATCTATGTATCACACTTCTCTGAAACCTATTTATCTTATAATAACAATAATAGTGATAAAGGAAGGATACATAGGTTACAACGGTTAAATTAACAAAATGGAAGGCGGAGAAGTTAATGGGATGGGAAAAATGTTATGTTATGATCAGGTTTTAGTTGATGAGTAGCTAAAGCCTTCCTGTTGTTTTGAGGAGCTGAAAACAAAGAGAACGTGGGAGGTTTGGATGAATTTGATAAATAATTTTAAAGTCATAATCTAGATTTATTGTGTGATGGAAGTCAATCAAATGTTCTAGAATCGAACTTCTAACAGATTTTCTTTCACCTTTATGAAACCAAGCAGGAACATGTTTTCGTGTAGAAAGCATTCTCTGGCTATGGTTCTTTAACACAGACGTAAAATAGGTTACAGCTGGTAAAAGTCAACTGAAGTCTTGTTGCGAAGAATGTTCGATTGATTGATCTGGTAAGACGATTCTTCAGTACATCCGATACTAGATCACCTTTAAACTCTAGGCTTTGAGACCGAGTGGATGACCGGTTTAGTGTTTCTTTCTAGCATATTTTTATCAGTACAACGCCCAGGATAACCATTTTTGACAAGTGTGCTTTTTAAAAAAGATAGCTCTTCATCAATACAATCATCACTACAGATATTTCTTATTCGATAGCAAAGAGAGTGAATAAGATTCTTTTTTCTGTTATCAATATAACCGTTGTAAACTATGTATCCTTTCCCTATCACTATAATGGTTATTATAATCGCCTTCACTTTAATTAGTTTCCGGTGTTATTTCACTGAATTGTCTTAATCCTTTTAGAAAACATAGATTTCGTCCTGTCCAACTTATCTGATGTTATTCCATAATACTTAGTTAATTTACCATTTTCAACAATTCCCCCCCCCTAACTGAGTTAGATAATTTCTATGAATCACTCCATATTTAGTAATGATGGGCACTGGCTAGCAGTGGAATCCAGGATGCGCATTTCGCCGTATTTGGGACTCGTCAGCTGGATGGACCTGCTTCCCAGTAAGTGATGTTGTTCCCACCGGGACTCGGACTCGGGAGCGATCACTTCAAACCCCAGTGCGTCATCCACTACACCACCGAGCCACGATAGCCACTTCTTGTGCGACGGGTATAGGGTTAGTGTTATTGCTTGTATTACACCGTACACATCTAGCTGACGAGTCCCGAATACGACGAAATGCGCATCCTGGATTCCACTGCCAGCCACTGCCCATCATTACTAAACATAGTTAAAAGACAGGCAATATCGAGGCATCCGCATAGGAGCCCATATGCCAACAGAGACTGATCAATTCGGTCCAATCAACGAAGGTGTAATACAAGATTAACACTAAATCATTCCATATGTTACATAATCTACTTTGTTATCACTTGCGCTTCAATTGTTATTATAATCACAAATGCCTGTGTCATCATCCGCTCTATTACTATTGCCATCATCATATAGTTCAAGCTGTTATTCATCGCAGACTGACATCAGTTAGAGGAACAGCGGAAACCTGGGAGCACTAGATAGCTGTTTCGTCCTAGTATGAGACTTCTCAGTAGTGCGCACCCCCGACCCCGCCAGATATCGAACCCGTGCCTTTCAGGTTCCGCAGCCAGCACGTTGCCACTGAGCCACTGGGTCAGAATCCAATGCTCCATATTTCCAACTTCTGTTTGCTCACGATATAGCGCATCCACCACCCAATTTCATCGTTGGGTAACTGTCCTCACGACCATCATGCTTGACTCCACCAGTCACAACTCCCACAACTCCCTCAAAATTCAATCATCATATAGTGTGTAGTTTTCCTCACGGGATATAATTTTTCAAGCATCATGTATATATATATATATATATATATATGATTGTACATCTTGAAAATAAATTCGTTGGAAAGAGTCTCTTCGCTGAATATCTTGATGTTACAATGGGAATTATTAAATTATCCTATAATGGATAGACAGTTTTCCTTCTGTTCAATTTTTCCGACAGCTACCTTTGTTTCTTGCGTAATCCAAAAAGTAGAATAGGAAAAAATACATTTCAGCAGTTTACACGGTGATAATTTTAGATTTATTACACTTCAAATGTGTGTTAATTGTTTGAATATGGCTAGCAACGTTGATACTGTTGAGAAAATTGTTTTTGTTTTAATCAGGTGATCACAAATACTGACGAGAGATCAAGGTTATCACTTGTTTTGGAGCCATAAAGATTTATCTAAAATGTTACCCATAGCTTACTTGTTTATATTTTTGTAGAGCGGGAAATGTTTCCCTGTTGACATAAATCACATAATGTATCTTATGCATTATTATTATTGAAACATTTACTGTAATCATAAATGTATGAAAACTCTTCTGTCTGACATTTTCAAAGTGGTCTGAAAATAGTACATATGAGTACAGCGTTTTTGCTGCAGTATGAGCGGAAGGAATTAGTATCAGAAACTTTTATTGCGTATAGTAATAATGGATAGTGGCTAGCAGGGGAATTCATGACGTGCATTTCGTCCACTTGGGACTTGTCAGCTGGATGCACCTGCCTCCCAGTGAGTGATGTTGTCCGTACCGGGACTTGAACTTGGGAGCGATCGCTTCAAACGCAAGAGTGTTATCCACTACGCCATCGAGTCACGATATCCACTTCTTGTACGACGTGTACAAGTTCGGTGTTACTGCTTTTAGTACACTGCCGTTGATTGGACAAAAAACTTTTATTACTAATCTGGGAATAGGATGAAAGAGTTACTATTTTCACTGATCCAAGGAGTTTCTCAAAAAACGAATTCTTGTTTTTGCTATGATAGACTGCTTAGATAGTTGGAAAGAGTGACTTTTTACTAAACGTCTCTTGTTCTGTGATTTATTGAAGAGTTTTGAACTTATCAATAACTTTTACTCAGAAACAAATCTTATAAACTCAGTGCTACTAAAAGAACTTATTATGCCTGGACACTTAGAATGGATTTCACCCTACTTCGAAACTTTTTAACTAAAAGCTGATGGAAAAAACTCTCATCAAAAAGTCAGGAAATTTTTCTTTGATATCTTGTATTCAATTTTTAACATTTACTGTGATTTTAAAAACGATAGGCGTTTAGCTTCTGTGGAAGATTAACTCAGATACGCCTTCGATAACCATGTTAACAGTCTTGGTCGTGTTGTATTCTCTGAGCTGGGTCCTTTAGTCGTGGAGCTTTTATCGTCTTTTTAGACGACATCTTCAGCATTAATTTCAGTATCAAGTTTATTCGATTGGTTTTGTAAAATAGTATCAAGCTCCTTTTATAGATGATGTTTCACTTCGATAAATTGTTAATCGTTGCTTTGTCTATCATTAACCTTGATTTTATATTATATAAATGACATTTTTGATTTGACAAGCCTTTTAAAAATATGGCTGAACTAAAATTTCACGTGTTTTCTAGGACGTTTTCAGTTATTTATTGATACTACGAAAAATGATATAATGGTTATCTCATTGCCTCTTTATAGTTTGTATACAGTTTCTAATATTTACCTAAATTACTAACCAACTTATACATCATATGTTCATTCGATGGATTTGCTAAACAAGAATATGAAGAACGATAATCTGTGATTACTGTACTTCGATGATTCACAAACTACTTTCGAATACTTTCCCTACCCATGTTATTAAAAAGAAGTAACGAAGATGGCCAAAATATCACATTCATATTCTTTGATCAATCATATGTGTAAGTAATAGTTTTTATCTTTTGTAACCACTTTCCCTGTGAAAGTGTATATCACTTTATCAAACAACTTCAAATCAAGCCAAGCAGTCAACTTCTGACTGTCCGTTTAAACCTCAGACTACCAAACATTTTTCTCGTAATATTTTTTCAACTTTTTTAATCTTCTACATGTCTTCTAAACGTATCCTGTACTCTAGCACATTTTTAATAAGTTTTCTAACTGCTGTTCTTCAAGCTGAGAAGGGAATAGAAAAAAACATTTCATCTTTAACATATGAACCTATAAATACACAAAATATACGGCTAATTACCACTGTTTCAAGTTGCAGGGTTTTTTACATACTAAATAAAATACCGTCACCAAATTGTAGCTGGAATTTATATTAATTCACCAGTCCAGACAAGATGATGCATGTTTCACATTGGTGCCTTCAGTATTTCGTTTAAAAATATTGTACAAGGAATGGATTTGTTAAAATATTACAAACTGAGAATTCCATACTGTATTGAGCATGTTCAGAATAAAGTAATTATTATTAGAATACCACATAATTACATGATACTTTGAAAATGCAAAAGCCTTTCACTTCATATAAAATCGATTGATATCCAACAGAGAGTTAACTAGCATGAAGCCTTGGACCTGGATTTAGGCATTTTTAAACGAGACATATCAACAGCCATGAAGAAACTATTGAT